AGGAGCGTGGAAAGTTCAAGAAGATGAGGCTGGCACCTCCCTGAGGAATTCACGGTGTTGTGGCTGGCTGGCTTGGGAGCTGGGGTTTAGGCTGGGGGGATTTTCTGTCCGGGGGGTGTAGGTAATAAACGCAGCAGAACTGTATTTGCATTGTCTCTTGGAGTTCTTTGGGCTGAACCTGACACTTGGGTACAGAAGAAGCAGCACATCTGTTTCCCTGTCCAGTTGACTGGCTCTGCAGGTCGCAGAAACGCAGCGTCACGTTGGGCTGGTTGCTTAACCTTGTCTGCTTGAAGTTAAATGCAACCTGATGTCAGCAGTAGGAGGAGAGAGGGGGATTGAATAGGGGGGAGAAAGCATATGGCAGTATGTGTTGTACGGGAGGTAAACTTCGTGTGGTTTCCTCGTTCTGCACCCAGCTTACCTGTCCTTCAGTAGGATGAAAGCTGCTGTGTTTCACCATATCTAAAAAGAGGTTGTCTGCTGCCTCCCAATGAATTGCTTGATGTGGTGGCATCTGCTGATTTAAAATAAACTGGCTGGGGATCACCTCTCCCACTCTGGTTCACTCAGTCCAAATAGACAAAATCCAGAAAAGCCATTTTTTTCTTCCTCTTGGAATCCAGGTTGCAAGGTGAAAGTTCACTAGATAAGACAATGACATTATTCTGAATTTACGTTACAGAAGTACCTTCCACTGTGCTCAGTGTGGCTTTCAGCCAGGCTAGTGTTCTTAAAACTGCATTGAAGGGAGGAGAAATTCAAAAAGAAGTGAGCGGGGGTGACTAATTTGGAGGTAGCAAAATCCAATCCCAAATCCACATGGACAGGATTTCAATTTAGACTAGCTCAGTCTTCTTTTTCCTTTTCTACTTCCTTTAGCACAGACAACAGCTCATTGTTGGTGGACCCACTGGAGGATTTCCCTCATAGTTGTGGCCAGTCAGGGGTGCTAAGCTGGAATGATACAGAGATGTACTTCTCATCTCTGCCATATACCCTTCAAGGAAGCATTACCAAAGCTATAGCTGCTGAGCCACTACCCATAAACAGGGCACCATTGCAGTCTCCAGTTGGCTTGTAATTTTGGGGAAGACAGGTGATCAGAGGAGAGGCACTGGACAGCTGTTTCTCCATCTCCTTTGGCAGAGAACACCCCAGGCCTGTTTCAGTGGCTTTGGTGGGTGTGGCCCCTACTCAAAGGTCCAGATCCAGCCTGCACTCCAGAGGCAAGAGCACTTTGTGGGATCCCCAACCAGATCTCAGCCTCCTGGAACAAACCTATCCCATTGACCACCAACCCTAATAAGAAGGAAGAAGGTGGGAAGTACCATCTCAGGGTACTGTGATCAGAATAGCCCATGGGAGAGGGGAAGCAGGGTTTATCCATGCCCTCTCTTTCTTTCTGCTCCTCAGATGCCTCCTCCCCAGATCCACACCATAGAGGGTAAGTAACTACAGATCTCCATGGGGAAGGTCAGGAGCCTCCAGATGGAGTGAGACTTAGATTCCCTCCTCAACTGATATCCAATTCAGGCTCTGCTTATCAGGACCAACAGGTAGAGAGGAAGGGGAGTTCTTCTTAGATGAGGAAAAAGACCATTAGTCTGTTTCCAGCTGCCCCAGACTTTTTCAGAAGCCAGACTCTTCCCAATGCTCAGAAGAGTTTACAGTACCTTAGGCCTGAAAGAGCCAGAACCTTGGAGCCTGTCCAATTGCCTGATGGACTCCGTGATGGCAGAGTTGTTCCACCACATGGTTCCTATTTCCTGAGGTTTTTAACAAGGACCTTGAGTCCAAATAAGAGTATGTAGGAGTGGAAAAGTGAAGGATCTCCTTTGTCACCAAGAATCATATTTTTCCACAGCCTGTGCCCATAGCAGTCACTGCTGGGGTGGCACTAGTCTGAGATGCGAAAGACGGTCCCAAGCACTCAAAGGACAGGCAGATATACAGTAGATGGTTCAGTGCAGAGGAACTAGGAGGCAATTGTGGCTGAAGAACTGAAACATGAATTGTAAGTCAAAATTGGTTCTCCTTTTGGGCATCCTCAAGAGTGATAAACTGTTGGAGAGGCCCTAGATGATGTCCTAACTGAGACACAAGGCAAAAGGAAAGCCCTATCCCTAACTCAGTGTTTTTCAAACTTGGCAACTTTACA